AGGAATGTATTTACACAAAAGGCTAGTGCAATATGATATTCCAGGTAAATCAACCAATCAAATCAGCTGAAAACAACATATAACTTCAATGTATGAATTCACAACATATAACTTCAATGTATGAATCCACCCCGCTGTGGCAGGGTTACCCATTCATCAGTTTGTCTAGCACAGTATTCAAATCAACTGACTGCCCATTCTCCATCAATTTTCTCACTGTTGCTCTCACCAAGTCTCTATGAAATCCCATCGTAGCAACCCTGTCAACAAAATCATCAACTGGTATCCTGTTTCCACTCCCACCAGAACCTGATCCTGAGCCAGCATCCACATTAGAGGCAGATGGTATAGCATTCGGCAGTAGACGGGCAGTCGGTAATTGTTTGTAAATGCTTTCACCAGTCAGGACTGGAGGAGATGGTATGGGTTGCGATGGTTTTATAGATGAAATGCCATTGTTGCATGGAGAAGCACCATAATGGTAAGAGTCCATAATGTTTGTTTTCGCATGTGCTGGCAAACTTGCAAGAGTAGACTCTACATAATGCCTGTTTGGGGGTTGAGGATAGATCTGCTGGGTAGAACCCACATTATACTGTTGGAGAGTTGGAGACCTGCCAGGTGGCTGAGAGATGCTATGAGGTGGTGAATAAGGAACTTCAGTATGAAGGCTTGATGGATAATGGGCTTGAGGATTAACCATACTGGAATCTGGGTGCACTTGAGGCAGTTGGGGTAGCTGTGAATTTTGGGGAAAATGAGGCATTGGTTGACAAGGAAGGTGATTATAGGGTATTGGTTGTGACTGTTGAGCTGGAGGAACCTGGTATTGCTGATATGTGCTATCTGGAGTAGGAACTACCAGTGGATTGTAAGGTTCTTGCTTTGGAACAGAGGGGGCGGTCGTCTGGTTCTGGAGGAGCTGGGTGGGAAGCTGTGGTGCTGTTGCAACAGGTGTTGCTGGAGCTGTTGCTCGATGATGAATCTGCGGAAGCATGTTTGTAACACTAGAAGCAGGAGAAAGAAGTTGTGGACTAGCACCTGGAACAGGAAGCAGCTGATGGGATTGCTGAGAGACCAATGAAGGTGCTTCATATGCTTGACCAGTGACATTTTGCTTTTCCACTTGCTGGTTATTTTTGGACATTTGAAGCTTTGCCAGTTGTAGCTGAGCCTCCGCTATCTCTTGTTTATCTCTCAAATCTTGGACACCACCTTGAACCTGCAATAACTTGCCATGTTAAGAAGCATTACAAGTGCATCCCTCAAACGAGTAGTTGGTGGTATTGCTAAATCGTTTCTGTGGACCCCTCTCTGTTATAACCATATTTCTGCAGGGAGATCTAGAGAAAAATTGTAAATAATATTGGCAACAAGGCTACCTTCAGCAATAACTTCCCTTTCCCATGGCAGAATAATGAATAATATTTTGTGCTGGAAATGAGTC